GTCACTTGCTTTGAATCTGATGTCTGAAATAACGTTGACAACAGCTTTAACAGTGCCTTTTCCGTAGAGTGGAATTTTCTGTACCCTGATTGAAAGCACGGGAGAAGACTATTTTCATCTAAGTATTGTAGAAGCTGCCTTGTAACCACCCTTTCAACAATCTTTGCTATAAATGATAAATTTGACACAGGACGAAAACTCTTCAACTCATTTGCATCGGACGATGGTTGCTTCAATAGAGGTGTAACAATTGCTTTTTTAAAAATCATTGGATAACTTTCAGTTTTCAAACACATATTAATCAAATCCGTCAAGTACGGCAAAAACAGTTCAATGTGTTTTTTGAAAAGACTGGTTGGGATTGGATCTAGAATAAATGTTGTCGGAGGGGCTTTCAAAATAACTACCCTAACATCGAGCACTCCAAAAAATCAGAGAATACTTGATGTTCTTTAACCGTACAGCTGAAAGAAGGTAAGCCATGCCCTATAATAGATTTTTTAATGTTTTCAATTTTTTTCCTGAAAAAATTTGCAAACTCACTGGCAGTAATTTTATTGTTTGCTGCATCAACCGTATTAGTTTTTCGTTACATAAAACCTTGTTTAAAACTCGCCATAACTGTTTAGGGTTGTTAGCATTAGTGTTAACTAAATTGTTCCTGTATGATTCTCTTTTCTTTGCAAAATGTTCTTGTTTCATATTCATTAGGCCAATCCAGTTCTGTCTATTAACCATGCATTTATTTTTCCTATATTTGCGTTCATACCTTCGACAATCACGTTTAATTTCTCTACAGTCACTAACCATGGTGCAGTTTGAACAATTCTTGTTTCAGCTAAATGAAGAGGCGCAACAAAATAAACAATTCTCGTCATTTCTCTGTTGAAGAGTTCTGTTGTTCTATCCAAATCATCATCATTACAAGCACCAATTATCGGAGATCCATTAATCAAGGTAATCAAATAATTTTCATCAACACGCTTTTTCCAAGCCCGTACAGCCTTTTTAATCCTTAACGCAGGGGAACAAACTATTGACAAACAAAATGAAGCCAAACTGTGATCATAAATGACACTACTAGGCTATACCTTAATATGAGTAACAGGCATATTGATTACTGATACCATCAAGTCCAACGTTCCATCCTGCATATGTGTAGGTTCTATTATTACATTTTGCATTGAGAACATGTCAAACACATTCAATAATAGCCTGGCATTAACATCATCATTTCTTTCGACATGCACGCTCAAATCACCTAATAATATTACATGATCACTCAATAACATTACGTTCCCCAAGATACTGTTCAATTCTTGAAAAAATGCTTTAAAAACCAACTGCGATCCTGGTCGATAAATGTTAAATAGTACAACATTAGCTGTGCCTATTTTTGCCTCAAATGTTAATAATTCCGGCAAAGCTATCCTTTTGTGTTTAAAGAGGTCACGAAAGTAAATGATTAATCCCCCATGATATGGATCATCTCTTCCCAAGCAATCAACAAACCTGAATGGAGCATAGCTAATTTAATTGAAACATCATCTGATGAACCATGCCAGGTTTCTGTTAACGCTAGAATATCTAAGCCTTCATATAATAATTCATAAATGGCATCAGTCTTTGAAATCATTGATCTTATATTTAAGAGACCTGGACGTAATTTTTTCAATATCCATCATTAATATCATCACTCTCACAGCTATCAACCCCATCACGAGTAACATTAATTCGACCATCATCAACACACTTACCATCACGTTTACCATTATCACCTGCGTTATCATCATCACCACCACAATCACACAATTGATTATTCACCATATTACTTTCACTATAGCTATAACAAAATTCACATCACCAAAATTTTCACTTTTTTTGATTCATCACCAACCATTGCCTCTACCGAAAATATTGAATTAACTTTTCTGTTTACATCATTTATCAAATATTTAATGTCATCAAGTTCCTCCAATATTCCATCGATATCAAAAAAGTACATATTTAGTGCAATCTTTTTTTTATTCGAATTATTTTCATATTTCATATATCCCCTCACTTTGCACACAAAATCCTTTTTATCAACTGCCTCCTTCCTCGCTAAATTCATCAATTCTTTACACTTGATTCTTTGATCTTTTGTCATATCATGGCCAATATCTATTCCCTTCAGATCAGCATCTAGATTTTTCAAATTATTTAGACTTTCCATAATTAAGTTTTTCAAAACCTTTGACTTCAGTCTAACTAACAGCGGCCTGACATTATCTGATCTCTTACCCAATCTGTAGTGTTTGACAACATTTGACATATCAAATTTTTCATCTGTTATTGCGCTAAGAATGCGCATAATCCTTTCATCATCTTCTTTCCCGCTATCATTAAAACTGAAGTTGTTACTTTCTTTCCATTTAAAAATTATAGTTTAACGATCTTTCTTCAACCTCACTAAATAAATGAATTGTTTTCTTTGTATTAATGACCTCTTATTTTAGTGCCTTTATTCCATCATTCATACTCATCACTTCATTATTTACAGTTTCAACCTTCTTTCCAACAACATCTTTCACAGCATCTGAATATGACTTTCTAAGACCAACATGTAGTGAATTTATTTTTGTATCCAGAATATCTACCGTGATTTTTTATCAAGTACTCTTTTTATCCCATTTATTTGACCACTAATGACGTTGTTGCAATCTTGTATGTTTTTTATATTTTTCAGTTCATCTTGCAGCATAGTCATTTTACTTTCTAGATTCTTCATCACCATGTTCAAATCGTCATTAACAAGCGTTTTATTAAGCTTGTCCCACAAATCTTTAATCTGGTTATTAATAACCGCATTGCTTTTCTTGATCGTTTTTTATCCCCCCCCAATCACGCTTAAATGACTGCCAGACTTGAAAGCTTTCATCTCTCCAACACAGCCACTACAACACCATATTAAACCGGTACATTGTTTATTATTACGTTAAACAAAGGCGAAAACGAAACGTCCCTGTGCCTTCTCAAAACTAAGACAATTTTAAAACAATAAAATAAAATAAATTTTTGTTCTTATAAGTCAAATAATGTATTAAACCTTGTAAAAAAAAGATAATAAAAAAACAAATATAAATAAATTAATCGCATATCCTAATCAATAAATTGACGATAATATCGGTACATAGTGATATAAAATTCGAATATATCCCAATCTCACAAATAGAAACATAATTACGTTGTTGAATATTTTTCAACGTTTGTTCAGAAGCGCACTTCCAATGAATCATCAACTAACAAAATTTGCAGTGTAGCTTTTCCTTCATTGGTACTGTACTTGCACAAGCTGTACATTTATTTCTTGAAGCCATATTTTTATTAACAAATCAGTACATACAATTGTAAATTAATGTTAATTGTTGGTGTTTAAGTCTGCAAACTACAATTCAATAATCAACAAGGTGTGGACTTATCCAAAAAAAAAACAACTTTAATATTAGCTTTCTTGTATAAATATATTAAATTTTAAAAATAAAAATATAATAATGCTTCCCTTAATTTTATCCTTTAAATAAATCCCAATTCGAGTATATAATATCAAAATTAATACCAAAATTCAAGAAAAATGCAGAAAAAATTAAATAAGTCCGTTCACTACGAAATACAAACATACGTTGCTGACTGAGATATCATAGTGGCTAATTGTGAATATTATATTGGCAGATTGGGATATTCTGGTGGCTGCTTGTGATTGGAATATTATAGTGGCTGATTGTGTATATGTATATTATGTTGGTTGATTGAGATATTAACATGGCTGATTAGGAATATTTTAATGCAATGCGATTTGATGGTTTGTTAGTGAAGTAAATTGATAAATTCACAAGATGACCTATCATCAGCCATATCCCAACCTTAACATACCCTGTCACCAAATACTTGAATAAAATTTGAACCCCTTACAGTCCAAATAATTATAATCTCCAGTCTTCTTTTGAATTTATCAGTTATTACAGAAAAGGATGTAGAGAGTAAAAAAGAAGAAGTCATCCAAAAAAGACTTGGACTGACAACATCAAAGAAGACTTCAAAATAAATAACATGAACATCGTAGAAGCCAGAAAAATGACTAAAGATAGAAGAAGATGGAGACTCTTTGTGACTAGCTATTGCCGCCTTAGGCTGACAAACACCAGATGATGATTATGATGAGAAAAAAGGATGCAGTGAAACAAGGGTACAAAAATATGGAAATATTAACAAAATAAAGAATGATGAAAGAAAGACCCAAAACCAGATGAAAGGATTGTTTGGAACGGAATCTAAAGATGGCAGGACTCACTTTACAGAGAAAGGTAACAAGATGAGTTAGACTAACGCTGGAAAAATTGCTTTAGACAGACAGATATGGAGACAGATCACTGAGAAGTCATTGGCTGGATTCAGTCGTTGAAATATTGCACAGAAGATAGGGAAAATTTGAAAAAAAAAATTCAATTTTCATTTATGGCTGAAGAAATGTAGTTGCTAAAAGCCTCTTGATGTATTGAAGTTGCAAGCACTGCTTTAATCTCTATAGGTCTCTTTTCGTTGCAGACATTAAGAACAAAACAAATAGGTAAAATATCTATTAAAAATGTTGGATAAGTGTTTTTCATGTGCTTTTAAGTATTCAGATAAGATATCAAAAATTAAGTCTACGACTTTGTTTGATGAAAATGAATTCGACACTTTTTAAAAACTAGTTTGCAACATTTCCATATAAAGGTTAAAGAATTGTACATAAATGAATTACATGCCTTATAATTGACAAAGTGACACTCATTAACTATTTAATCATATTTTCTATTATTCTCAATTTTATTAATTCTTAATTTTACTGTTAATTTTAATTGATTCAAAAAGATTAATAAATGTAACCATGGTTAACTTTGGTAACTTTGACTTAAAAAGAATATTCTTTTCTTCCTGTGTTATAATGAAGTTCATGTAATAAAATTAACATTTAACAGTATAAATATTTTGATGCCACCAAAAATGAACTTTTGAAGATTATGAAATCATTTAACGATTTAAGACCTGCATCAAAGAATTTCGGTTAGTTGCACTTTTAATTTTACAAGGTGCTTCCTAACATTTTAAATTGAAGCTCCAAATCTTTTCAAATTAGCAACAATTTTCATTTGTTTCCATAAATAATTTAGTAAGATAACGACGGGTTGCGATAAGAGGTTTAAAAACAAATGAAAGATTTTACCTAATTTTGAAAAGTAATGAATGGGTCACGTTTTGCATCTGCTTAACAAATTTATTTAACTTTCATTATCAAATAATTCTTTCAAGTTTTGTCATTTCAGCTGCGTTATATGGATGCTTAAATTTTGAAAGTTCTTTTTTGTAAAACATGTCTCAATATATTAAAAGGATTTATATTTAAAGTATATCTCAGCTGATCAAAAAATTTAAAATCCGAGATTATGTTTGCAAATTTTGGTCATGTTCCAGTATTTTAAAGGTTGCCTCAACTTATAACTGCAAAAGAAAGTTAAGAAGGATTTTTTAATAGATTAGATCAAATGTTTCTTTATTTGAAGCTGAATGCTGAATTTAAACAAAATTTTATTTATTAATATGTAAGTTCATATTTATATTACATTGGTTTATATATTTAATGTGATTAAAAAACATTAAGAATATGGTTTTTTAACAATAAATTGTATAATTGACAACTGATGTACTGTATTGCAGTCATCGATGGTAATGCTTAGTACAAAGTTTTCTACAGGGTGATTGAAAAGTAACTCCCTATTTGAAAATATCTACAATCTAGTCCTAAAGCCATAATATACTTATCAACTTTTGTTTGTATTTTACTTCATGTAGGGCATTATTTAATCTATGCTTTTGATTTATTCTTTTATCTGTTTTATAAATTTGTTTTAGTTAATTTTTTGAAATTTCAAAACCCTACAAAAAAGAGTTGGATTTCTTGCATCACATGGGTGTGCCCAGATAGCTGCACTGCACGTTATGTGTTATTTGTCTTGTTTGTCTGAGCTTGTTTGGAAGAACTTGAAAGGAGAATACGTGAAAACAAAAGTTTTGTGTGAAATCAGTTGATGCAATTCCTGGACGATTTGAGAAATTGGTGGCAAAGGATGGAGTCCATAATGAATTTTAAATAAAGTCCATGTAAAATACACTCTTTTCATGTACATTTAATGTATAAATTGCATTTCAATTATAATCTGGTTATTTTATTTTAGGGAGTTGCTTTTCGAACATTGATTATCCCTGGAATTAAAAAAGTATGATATATAAAAAATTATTTTAAATAATATTTTGAGTCTTTATTCTGCAAAAAAGACACAAAACGGATTTTGTCAATTAATATTAAGAGGTTAAAAAGTTTCTTAATCGCAGTTGTAAATGACTTTTTGATAATCGGACAACGTAGTATTTGTTTTAATATATATATATATATATATATATATATATATATATATATATATATATATATATATATATAATTATTTTTAATTTCAGTCTTTAACGATGGCGTATCCAAAGATTTGGTTTGTCTGGAGGGTACAATTCCTGTTTCATACAAAGGTTCCTCTAATTTTAAACTATTTTTGAATTGTATAATTGAGGTTTGTATTGTATAATGTTTAGTGAAATTATCAGTTGCAAGTTTCTGGTAAATATAGGAGAAAAACGTAATTTTTCCTACTCGTACACACATCTTGTGCAGTGTTTTTTTCTATATGTTAATGTCTAAAACTAAAACAATATTACATAATAAAAAAATGTTTATGTTTCATTAATAAAATAAATCCAACAAAATGTACCAATTTGTTGTTGATTTTTTTTATAACACACTGCTTTTGATTGCTTTTATTTTTGCTTTTCTGAAATTAAATCTTGTGCCATTTGTTCTTTCACTTGAAGAATTCTTCATTCAACTGGTTTGCCGTTGCTAAGATATAGTATGCCGTTTAGTTTAGATTGTTATGAATTTCTCAGTTTTACGGATAAAACTTGTGTTTAGACAATATACTTTGACGAGACTTCTATAGCTGCGATTGGAAAATTAGACTGAAGATGTGGAGCTATGATGTTTCCGGGTACAGTTGGTTGACACAAGATCTTAACATTCCAGCTTACTAACTTTGGTTAAAAAAAGATTTCGCCTGTTTTGAAAAAGTTTAAGCGTAATAGTGTAATATTAACAGTAACAACTGTGGATCGAATAAACAAATTTGGGATATCATGAAAATATTTCTCTCATTTTCAAATCAACAAAAATCATTCACTACAAGGAACAAAATAAGCAAGATGGCTGATTACAACTATCATTTTATAGACGCTATTTATTGTTTTTAAAGTTACAACATCGAACATATATTTATAGAAAAAAAATTTAATTTTTAACTATGCCCCAAAGAATTTGGTAAAAAACATAACTGAAAATTCAAATAGTTTTGATTTAACAAAAAAATTAAGTAAATTGAACAGTTAAGTTTTGTATTTAGGCTTATATGTTAAATTGACAGTTTTATTGAATCATGTAACTATATTATTAATCGAATTTGTTCAAAGTTAATTTATAGTATTGTGTTTTAATTACTATTAATTGATTAATGAATAATACATTGAAAGCGATGAGTCAACGCTTTTAGAAAAACTTGTGAGCGTACTGAAAGGCCAGTCCGTACGTCCCGCAAAAGGGAAATCGGCCGTTTAATCTGACCCAGAGATCGAACGTATATTTAGTTGAGGCGATTTAGTTAGGAAAGTGAATGCCTGCAAGAAGAAAGTATCGAGCGTCCGGTGGCGTTTACCATTGCCACGGCACTGATCATCCACACCACCGTCGCAGCGACAAAAATTCTACAGCTTGAATCATGTAAACGATAATAGTTTCAATTCATAATGTATTTTTTTTAGGAAAAATGTACAACATTCCAATATGCATCTATTTGATGGAAACTCATCCATACAATCCTCCAATGATTTATGTCAAACCAACCCAGTCTATGCAAATAAGACAAGGAAAGCATGTAGATGCTAACGGGAGAGTTTATCTACCTTATTTGCATGAGTGGAAATATGTTAGATTTATTGTTTAATATTTTAAAATATTTAATTTTAAACATTTTAATATATTTTCTTAAATAAATCGTCACAGTTTCCTAGTATATTAATATATATATATATATTTACAATATTCTATAAATTCTACCGAATGTTTGGCGTTAATATCTTTGTAGTTCGTTTTTTCGATTTTTCTCACTAAAGTTTTTTGGTGAACGTTTAGTTTATTAAAATTCAAAATAAACTTATTTTCCGCATTCATGCTGCAAATAAGGCCATATTTCGATTCCGAATGAATCACCAAATAATAAAGTTAAACTCCGAATATATTACAACAATAAAGAGACGTCTCACCTAATACTGAAAAACAACTGTAGTCCTAGAGATAACTCTGTGCTAAGGCGTAATCACATAATATATGAATTTAATTGCCCCTTTGACGGCAGTGCACGTCAACATGACTCATATATCGGGATTACTACTACCTCATTGACTAGAAGGCTTACGATGCATAAACAGAATGGTGCTATCAAATCTCATTTGGACTCAACACACTCAATCACTATTAGCCGTGAAATCCTTGACAGTAACACCAAAGTAATATACCAGAACGGCAACTACACGCATCTTAAAATTGCAGAAGCAGTCCTAATTGACATCAATAAACCAAAAATAAATATACAACAAAAAATGACAACCTCACTTCCAACCCGGCGCTTAACCAACAACGAAAACAAAGAAGTAATAAAAACTAGCATTGTTAATAGTGACAAATAAGAATTGTTCAATGAAATATGTATTCTATTGTCTACGCCATTTTGATCTCCACTTTGGGTGACAAAGTCTAACTAAAAAAGTTTTTTCTCTTTGAAAAAATCCTTGCAAAGCAGTAACTATAAAATATTGTATGAGACTACAATGTGGTGCAGAAGGGTTTGCAAAATTAATGTTGGTTCACTATGGTTTGGAGTAGCTCTAGCCAAAGTTGAATAGTATATAATTAGCACATTGAATAAATGAAATTCGTCAAACCATTTTATTTCACTGAACTCGCCAGCATATTTTCTCAATGATTGTTAAAGTTCCAACTGGACTATTGTAATTTGTTACTGTTGGCAACTGCAACTAACATGAATTCAAAAAATTAAGCACCAAGCAGCCACAGTTGTCGACTTTAACATGTTCATGGCGTTTAATGATGTTGATGACGATTGAATTATTTTAGACTTTATATTTATAATAGTACAAAACAAAAGCTCAAAAATACGAGTTTCTTCGGAAGTTGACAAAATAAAAAAATTGCTAGGAAAGGTTAAAAAAGCAATGTTCATTTTTAAAAAATGTGACTAGTAAAAGCATCTCGTTTAATAGGTAGTAAATAAACGATTTCTTATTAAATTAACTCATCAATGTTTTTAGCCGCAATCGGATTTAAGCGGACTAATCCAAATGATGTCTATGGTGTTTGGCGAGGAACCGCCCGTGTTTTCAAAGCCGACTGTGCTTCCTGCAAATAATCAAAGCAGTAGACTGCCATATCCGATCGGCAGTTAGTTGGTTATATTGATTTTAAATTAGTTTAGATGATTTTTATTATTTTTGTTCTGTTTTTATTAATATCTACTTTAATTTCAATATTTTTAACCTTCTGGCAGTTGACATTCAAGTGATTAAACAGTTTAAAAACCGTAAGGTTATTTAAATAAAAGGTTGGTACGCTGATAAATATATTTCAATGCACAGATAACATGCCAATGCCATCATACGCCACTGGAAATAATCAACCAGCCCAGTTCGTTCCCAGTTCTAACTTACCGTATCCTACCTATACACAACCTCCGTATCCTCAACCACCTTTTGCCGCACAACCATTACATTCAAATCACTCAGTGGGTGCCAATATCAGTCATCAAGCTGCTACAAGTTTGTATTTTTGCACTTCACTTGTTTTGGTTCGTTGATAAACTGTAATCGTTAGTTAACTCCCGAATTTCATAACAACTGAAATAACTTTTCAACAGGAATTAAGTTTTTAAATTGTTTTCAAGGTATGACCAATTAATTGCATTTCTGTCAAAAGCATTTGGTAATTTAAATTCACTAATTTAAAAAGCAAACTAAATTAATTATAGAATGTATTGAATTTTTCGACAATTCTCAACTTTCATAAGTCGCCACCATTTCAACTTTATTAGTAAAGAGCTGTCAAATTATTTTCGTTCGTAGGCTTAACTAATTTTACTTTTGCTACTCAGACCTGTTATAAATTACTATTTAAATGCTTTTTTCTTTATCACGCAGATCTGTCTACACTTACAATTGGATTTTTTGTGCCACAAAGGCTATATCATTCCACCCAAACCTCGCACGCGACATACATACCCATTAAACAAATATTTCATCTATTAGCATACTTACGCAATTATTGAAATTTTGTCTTAAATCTATAAAAAAAACTCCTTAAAAACTGTGTTGAAAATTGAAAAACCATAAATTTTATTGCTGTTAAAATGTTGTGCAAGCTGAATGTACTTTTGTTCAACCTTTTCAAAATTTCCATAATATTATGTTTCCAATTTAAAATTATTTTAATTCACAAATTTTTTTTCCTAACGTCCATTTTCAATGTTTTTATCTCTTATTAAAACTCGTAGCAAAACAAATCAACTGATAAATACTTTTGGAGGGAGAAAATAAAATGCATTTCTGAATTTTCATTTGCAGGTTCATTTAACAATGTCCTGAGTGAAGAAGAAAGAAAATTATCGTTGTTATCGGCTGTAGAAGACAAAATGAAAAAAAGGTTGAAAGAAATTTTAGCACAAGGGCAAGTTCGTATTCCCACGACTCTGTTTAAATACGTTTAACGAAGTTATCTCATCTGGTTTTAATTTTTCATCAAATTTATAAACAGTTTCAAAGTATTGGTATTTGGCAGGAAATTCGTTGTCATAAAAAATATATGAGAAACGCTTTTAAATATCAATAGTATTAGAAAGAATTTTTGGGACGTGAATCTTGGATATTTTCTATTTTAATATCACTAAGCCGATACAAAATTTCAATTTTTCGAGCCAAGATAAGATTCGCAAAATATTATTTATACGCCGAAAATTATTTTTACTTTAATGTTGATTGTTGGCAAATAAGTACGTTTCAAATAAACCATGAAATATTATCTTTTGCACAAGTTTACTTTTTATTTTTTCCAAGCTTCAAGACAAAACACCCAGCTAAAATTTCGCATTTGAATTATATGTGAATTAAAAGAACGGGAAAAATAAAAGCAGAGCAAACGTCAATTTCGACGTTTTTTAATTAGCTGTCTTTGCATAATTGAACGTTACTCATTTTTCCTAAACTAAACCATGTATCATAAAATCTTTCCTCCGTTATATAATTTTCATGATCATTGTTTATTTATTCAATTCACTTCTGAACTGTTATCGAAGGATAATGCAATTGTATCCTATAATTTAAAAAATTTCAGGCAGAAATGGAAACATTAAAAACAACACAAGAAGATTTAGAAAAAGGTCGTAAAAAGTTGGAAGGAATATTCAACAAAATTGAGCAGGAACAAGTGAGTTCATCTGATCTCATAATTTTATAAACAAAACAAATTCAACCATTATCCTTGGATTTGTTTGTAATTATTAGAAGCAAAAGACGCATAATTTTTGTTTTTTCTAATGCTATTTGATGTTACATTAAATTTGCATATGGAGAAGAACGCTCGTATGCCCTTCGTTGGGTTTTTCAGACACTCTGTCCAGACACTCTGTTTTAATAAAACCGAAGTTTAACTAATTAAGTTTTATAACGTGTTGAAAAAAATGGATGGACTTGCAACAGTCTTATGCTGTCACATTGTATTTGCACATTTGTGAAATGGTTTTATGATGTTTTCTTTTTTCCCGGCTATTAAAGTTGTAGTCATTTCATATTTAATGTTTTATATTGGTACCTTAGATTTTTGAATGAATAAATAATTTAAACACTTGAAATAGATGAAACTAGAGTCAGATGTTCGAACGATGCAATCCAAAGCTACCGAAATATCCCAAGTACTCAGCAGAATGAAATTGTCAGAGGATGTGCTGATCGACGACATCATTGTTCCCGTTGCTCCTCTTTACAAGCAGTAAGAACTGTAAAATTTTTCAAACTAAGAAATGTAAAAGTAAGCGTAATAACTTTAGCTTCTGCTTATTTTACGTGCTTTCTTTACAAACTGGTAAAGATTCAAATCCCACCTGACAAGGTCTCAGTTCATTACACCATTACTTAGAAAACTCTTTTTCCACACCGTAAACTAATTTCTGGTCCACCTTTTATGAATGCAAATGTAAATGTAAGGGAAGATGCAATTTTAAAATCGAAGAAACATTTGTTTTTGTAAATTTTACCACCACTTTTTCATATAAATAATTAAAGTAATGAAATGAAGTTCTCCCTATCACGTTAGCGTTGTCAAAAATACGAATTAAGTAATTGAAAGCAATTTTTACTTGCAGAATTCTGGCTGCATTTGCAGAGGAACAGTCAATTGACGATGCCATTTATTACTTGGGTGAGGCACTAAGAAGGAACGTCATCGAACTCGACGTCTTTCTTAAGGTAAGCTTTTTAGTCAACACTTGAAGAAATATTTAATGTTCTAAGTTATTTTACTTCCCAAATGACACCTTTGTAAAGCAAAACTAATTTTATAAATGTCCACATCGTATCACGACCTTGATTGTTCACAAGCAAAAATCAATTACTCGTTCTGTGCTAAATTAAGCATATTAATAAATTACATATATTCCAAGTAAACTACCTGTATTTCCTTATAACTTAAATTGATAACGTAAATAATGTTTTCAATGTAAACTACAGCAAGTCAGAGAACTGAGCAGGAAACAATTTCTTTTGCGAATGACCATTAACAAATGTCGTCAGAAAGCTGGATTTGTTGAAGTTTATTGAAGGAAATTATGAAAAATGCCGATTGACAGCTTTTATTGCTTCGTAATTAAACCCCAAATACATTGACATTTATTTTTTAATATATTCCGAACAAGAACTATTAATTCTAAAGTGAAATTTAATTGCTTCAGTTTGAAATCAAATCATTTAAAATTATTTTCAACCCATTCAATTAATTAATTAAAATTTAGCATAAAAGTTGTGTCGTTAATAAATAAACCAGAGTGTGATTTGATCAGTCTGAGTTATTTGGCAACACGGATACGCCACGCCTGATTTGACCCCAGCCTATCAATCTGCATGTGTGAATTCATTGTTTGGAGGTCAAATATTACTTAAAATTTAAAATATTGTTATGGATATGCATTGAATATGTGTTCTACTACCATATATGTCGCACATCGTATAATTAGTTTACTGTAAATATGATAGCGTATGATGTTATAAGTCCTTTCAATGACCCAAGAGCTTTGTTTGGTTCCAATTTAAGGTTATTGTAATAATTGATTGATCTTCACGGAACAGAACCATTAGATAACAACAATTCTTAGATATAGATTGCCATTAGATAACCAAATCCAAATGGTATTGTTAAACATCTGAAACAGGACATAAACGGTAACCTAATCTGGTACTTGCTCCAATAAACGTTGACAACAATAACGGTAAAAATAATTTTAAAATGAAAACATGTAGAATTATGAGGTTACGAAACCAGAACTGATAACCAATAAATGAATTTTATCTTTATCCCAATAAAAATGATCTCACAAAAATAATTAACTAAACGTAGATTTATCAAACCTCCAATGTTTTTCAACCCTTCTGCTTAATGCAATCTTCTCACCCAAATCTGTGCAAACAGGATTGTTGAGGCCAACTTTGGCCAAATCTTTTTTTACGGCTAAAACGCGTCCTCCACTGGTTAAAGATCCAATGTTGACCATGATGATTTCATTTTTGGATAAGTTTTGAACCTGGTGAAAAATGAAACGAATAAATAAATAATCAAAGATAGAAGACATTTCAAGCTTGCAAATTTTTTAAACCAACCTAATTTTATTTACTTTTCAGAAGGCTCTTAAAATCTATTCGTTTAACATAAAATTGTTATGTGAATCTAAATCCAATGAGATTTATTAGACGGATTGTGTAAAAATAATGATAAAATTTCTTTGTATGCTACAATGCTTGAAGGAGACCATATATCTCTAATTCTACCCCCATCAAATGTCAATGTAGCAATTTTTCGAGTTGCTTTTAAAATTATCCATGAATATAGCTGCTTCATTTCTTGACTGTAGTCTTGATTGCCTACTTCATCACTCTCTATCGCTGCGTTAGCCTTGGCCATTTTCTATTTTGAGGATTGGTATTTTTTCCTTATAATTGTTTTTTTTAAAAAAACTTTTGCTGTGTGAGGCCAACCCACAGTTGTAGCCTTTCACATCCTTGAATATACAAATTTCTCCACAAGTAAAACCAAAAATTGGCATTTCCGGCTGTTGGTGCTCCGTTTTGCATACATTGATGCTGAAGTTTTTTTCTCGTCTCTCACCTTGCTCAAGTTGAGCTGACTACCTCTTTGCCTTGAAGTAATTCTGTCTTGTGGGCTCTAGCATATCCTTTCACAAAGGTAACTACGTTTTCAACATTTAAATCTTGGCCCGTAAGCAAATAGGCTTGATTGTCTTGGTTGGACAAGCCAAAAACAAATTTGTTGTGATGATAATAATAAATGATTAAAAGGTTGTTTTTCATAAATATAAACACCTTTTAGGCTATATAAAACTTTTTTCCAAACAAATCCTATATAACAAAATTTCTATATTGCGTATTTTTTTTTTCTGGAACCATAAAGTTCGTTGTACGGAGGTCTGACTGTATTCGTAATCACCAGAATAATATTTTGATGATTAAAACAACTGAATTGGTTCAACCATGTATTGCTTTTAATCCATTTTACCAATTTGTTGTGTCTTGCTCTTAAATTAAACAATTAAAAACTCTTAAAAACTCGATTTAAAATTAACTAACAAAAAAATTTCTGAATAACTTTTTTTATTACAAATTTCAACTTGTTGTCCTGTTCTACACACTGTAAATACTAAAAGACCGATCACTTTTTAAAAATGAAAATAGTGGTCCAGTGCACTTGGTAGCACAAAACATATGTACTTCTAAAAAACATTGAGAAATCATTTTCAGAATATAAATTTTTTCAAATTCCTAACACCTTCCGTAGTCGTATGAAAAATATCAGGTCTTTTAAAAAATTTTGACTTCAATCAACTTCAAAACTATGGTTAAAAATTAAAAATATTAACACAACCTTTGCAGCTTTTTTGTCTCCCTCAGTTCTAACACCCAGCAGCCTCCTTAGCAAGAAATAAGATATTTCAAGTTCTATGTAGATGTCAGGTAACGTACCAACGGTGCCCAACATTTGACCAACTAATCTGTCTGCTCGACACAAAGTAGGATCAATTTTTGTACCAACACCTTGTAAAAATTAAAAAAATTATTGCATAGATAATACAGAAAACTTCTTTCTTTTTTAGACTATTTCATGCTGCAAGATCAAGATGTTAAAATTGTCTTGCTGAAATCTTAAATTTAGAAATTAGCCCTACCGTTTTTCAACGAAGTTTATCCATTGCTTAAGCAATGGTTTTGACAGCATTCATTGATATTGCTGACTGCATTTAATAATTTTATTTATCGTTAAATAAAACACCAGTAGCAATAGCTTGAAAAATTTGTTGTATAATAAAATTTCAAATCGTTCAAAATACAAATTAAAAATAAAATAAAAATTTCAATATTTTCAAAAGTGTTTTTTCCATCATTGTGTGTGGTAGGAATCCAGATAAAATTAAGGAAATTAATAAGATACAACAATGACTAAATTTTTCAAAAAAGTTGATAATTATCACCTAATTTTATGTGCGAATATTCGATACATAATTAATAAAAAAATTCACACATAAAATTATATATTAATATTATAAACGCATCGAACATTTTTTTCAATAGGTTTTTGTTATAAATGTATTCCAATTTCATATGTTTTTTGTTACATTGCTTAAAATTCAAGCATTGTCACATAATGGGATAAATAAGTTTTCTTCAAATCAATTTTTTTTTAAAAACAATGCTATACCCTGCTCATTCAAAAGGTGAAGTCAGGTTTTACTTTGGTTTTGTTACTATTATTATGAATAATTGAAGCAAACAGCGCATGCAAGCATTCCACACGCACTGCACCCACATGAGTCATTGTAAAAGGAAAACCAGGTGCCTTAAAATATTTTCTCATCGCCCAACTAGATAGCATTCATTAATAGATTTCATTAATAAGTTACGTAAATTTAATAAAAAATGATTAAATTAGTAAATGCTACCTATCAAACCGCCAGGTACTGCATATTGAAGATCGTTCTGTTCAGCAAACAATGAAACAATTCTGAAAAATAATTAATCAGATAATCTTAAATTATTTTAATGACTGTTAAAAACATTCTTTAAAACAAACGTAAAAATAACGACATACACTGGACTAGATAATTTCAGGATGTTACATTTATATCGGTGGCCGAGAATTGATTTATTAACTGAATTTATTAAGTTTGATTTAAACTGTATAACAAAACTGATGATAAAATGAACAATGGCTTCCTCTGTCTTTTGCATTTGTGTTTATGGAAAAAGCCAAAACTGCATTACATTTTTAATGGAACTTAATATTATACTCTCTAAACGTTTAATTTATCCGCCGAGTTCGCATGCTGCTTAGGAATGATTGATTGGATCTTACAAGTTATAAAACATTAGTGTCCAACTGAATGGGAATGACAAAATCAATTTGATTAAAGTTATTAAAATAAGAAAACTGTTTTCAGTTACAGAAATAATTACTAAGCCATCCCTAAAAATTTAGCAATCCCTAGTTTTTTTTACCAAAGTTGCTAATCCACCGTTAAATGATTCCAAATGGCTGATAACAAATAAAAAAATTAAACTCAATCAATGGAGATGTATTCATCAGCAGCCCAGACCAACGCAAACTTAGTGGATGCATCATCTCAGTAGACGATGTTAAAAACTAAGGCTTTTTTTAGGAAATTCAAAGAAACACATTGTGGTCAATAAAGACTTACTGTTACTCTGTCAAACAAGTGAAATGGTGTGTCGACTTCAATCTGCAAGTATGTGAGTATGTATAAGGATGAGAATTTGCCGAACTGCTATTTTACAAGTGCAGCATTCGCCCTCGAAATAGTGTTGCAGTGGGCAAGCGAGAAGGCGGTTGCTATTTTAGTTTAGAATTTTTTTTGAGTCAACTCTACATTATATGATTAACGTCTTTGCATTTTTTAGGCGGTATTTTTACTTGGTGTCTTAAAGCGTTTTAAAATGATAAGGCACTAATGAGAGCACTAATGTAGCACTTGCGATACTGCGAATTTCAAGACAATAACGACATTTGGGGTGGCTATCATTTCCTGAAGCCCAAGCTTGCGGTGTTGGGGTGTGATGCAATAATGATGTAGAGCTGTTTGCACCGAACACTAGAGAGAAAATGCATACTATACCAAGCAAACTTTTTGAACCAAAAAAGTTGTATTCCTAATTAAAATGCAAAAGCGGTTGACTGCCAAGATAACAATGTCCATTAAAATAAATACCTGGAAAATATGGGTTTGCATGTTAATTTGCCTTCAGCATCTTTAGATACAATACCTGGTCTGACTTCGATTTCTTGACCAACCTAAATTGAATGGATTAATGAAAAAACGTAATTTATTACAATTAAAAACAAACATAATTTTAATTTTTTCAAATGTAATTGAATACAGTGCGCTGTGTGAAAATTTTAAGTGCTACTATAAGAACAACAATAACAACAACAACAACACACGTTTAGACGACATTTTCCCCAAGATCGGGGGTTGCCGTTTGGCTACCTATGATGAAACCGAAATACCCCTCGACGCCATCCACATCTGTCACTCGCCTCAGTATCACGCAACCCCGCTTTCACCCTGTCCTTCTCCACCTGCTCTCTCCATCCCAATCGCGGACGACCCCTTCCTACCACTCCTTCAACCTCGAACTCCAACGCTCGCCTAATCCCGACCCTTTCATCCCTTCTCAACACATGTCCATACCACCGCAATCTCGATCTCCTTATCAATGTCACAATGTCCTCATTCAGTCCCATCATTGACATCAGCTCTGTACTACTCCTCCTATCCTTCACCTTAACCCCACACATCATCCTCACCATAGCTCTTTCAGCCCTCTGCAGTACACTTTCCTCCTCTCTCCTCAACACCTAAGTTGACCATATACCATCATATACCATCTACCACCATATACCATCGCTGCTCTCACACATGCTTTATATACCCTCCCTTTCATCTTCACTGAAATTGGTAAACTTTTAACCCTTTCTTTTCAATAACACTTTTCCATCTGTCAAATTTTAACTGCAATTCTTCCATGCTATCAGCCATCAAGACTAAATCATCTGCATACAAAATCTCAAATAACAACCCCTCCATTATGTTTCCACACACAACATCCATCACAATTGCAAACAGAAACGGTGATAACACTGATCCTTGATGCATTCCTACCTTAACACTAAAAGCGTCCGACATCCCCCTTCCAACCCTCACCTTTGTCTTTGCTCCTTCATACAGCTGCATCACAGCTTTAACAAGTCTCTCATTCACTCCTTTCTTCCTCAACGCCCATTCAATGACCTTCCTCGGTACTCGATCAAAAGCCTTTTCTAGATCCACAAAACACATGTACAATCTTCGTTTCTTCTTTCTTTAATTCTCCTGCAACATTCTCACCATGAACAACGCATCCACCGTTCCCCTACCAGGCATAAACCCACACTGCATTTCATTAACTGTCACCATACTTCTCAACCTCCTCTCAAGCACCCTCTCCACTACCTTCATTCCGTGCTCTAGTAATTTCACACCCCTATATGACCCACAATCTCTCACATCTCCTTTGCCCTTATACAACGGCACCAACACACTGTGTCGCCAATCCTTAGGTATACCTTCATCATCAAACATACTGTTAGCAATTTTCATCATAACTTCAATTCCTATCACCCCACTCGCTTTTATATGTTCTGCCGCCACTTCCGAAACCCTTGTAGCCTTACCTAGTTTCATTTCTCTAACTGCTTTCTCTACTTCCTCCATCGTCACCTTCTCTATAGGTCCGTGTGTGACCGCGGATTCCACATCTCCATCCCACTCATTCTCTTCATTCATCAACCTTTCCATATGAGCTTTCCACACCTGAGCTTTTTCCTCCTCATCTATGCACAACTTGCCAGATACATCCCAAACATATCCATTCCATATAACATCTTTCCTATCCCTCATTGACTGCTTTCCTACTTTGAACATTTTCCTCGAACTCACATCAAAGTCCATTTCCTTCATTAACCTATCTGATGCTTTCGTCATTGCAGTTGCCACTGCCTGTTTTGCAACCATCTTAGCCTTCCTATACTCAGACTCCGCTTCCTCCGTCATGTCCCTTCTCCATACCCTAAACCTCTCCTTCTTGACCTCCAAAACCCTTCTTATATCTTCATCCCACCACCACGTCTCACCATGCCTACACTTTCCTTTCGTCCATCCACATACTTTATCTGCCGTAGCCAACACACAGTCCCTGTATCTCTCCCAAACATCTCCATCCTTACCACTCTCCCAATTTTCAGCCACCTTCACTTCAAATGCCTTTCTCACCTCTGCATCCTGCAACTTCCATGTCTTTCTCTTTGCCACAAACTTATCCTTCTTCCTCCTCCCCATTTCTTTTGATGTCACATCCATCACAACCATACTATGCTGCAACATACCAGGTATCGCCTTCACATTCTTCACATACTTCCTATGTTTGGCCCTTACCAATATATAGTCTATCATCGATCTATGTTCCCCTGACCTATAAGTAATCAATCGCGCTGGTTCCCTTGTGAACCAAGTATTCCCCACCACCATGCTATGTGCATCCGCCAACTCCAACACTCTACGCCCTTCCTCATTCCGTATACCATATCCCCATCCCCCATGTACACCTTCATATCCGTCTGCATCCGCCCCCACATGACCATTCAAATCACCCAACAACACCACAAACTCATTCACCCCGCTTGCCCAATCTCGTCAGAAACATCATAAAACCTATCTTTCTCCTCTTCCTTCCTACTTTGTTGCGGAGCATATCCTGATATCACCCTCACTATTACTTTTCCAAACACCATCACCACCACAATTACACCATTGCTTCTCCGCCTCACTTCCAACACCTTCTCCACCAACTCTTCTCTTACCATCACACCAACTCCTCCCATACCATCATCCCCCTTCCACCACAACTTATATCTTCCACCTTTAGCCCCCACAAACCTTGTACCCTCACCTTTCCATCTGATCTCCTGTAATGCAGCCACGTCAACCATTCTCCTCTGCAGCTCCTCCACCACTTCCAAACTTCTTCCTGTCAACGTGCCTACATTCCAGGTACCAAACCTCCAACCCCTTGGTCTACAAGTAGTCCTTCCATCTATAGTGCCTTGCACCGCCACACTATAGAGTGGGGTGCCAGTAGCCAGACCATCCACAGGGCCTTGCACCACAACCCCATGTACTGGGTCTCCGGAGATTCTTCGCACCCTCTTCTGCCGGATACTGAGGGCCATTGTTATTTCCGTCATCATAAGTATTATTTTTTGGCTAGTTTTTGCGCAGGACGCCCTTCCTTACGCAACCACAGTTATAAGCGGTGGGCCTAGCCTTTGATGATCCAACATCACTCACAAGGCAGTGAGGGTCAGTTTAATGTCATAACCAGGACTGCGTCATAACCAGGACTGTATAAGAACAACAATAAATAAAATAATTTTTTAATCGATCAAAAATCAAACTGTGTCAGATGCAGATGGTACAACGACATGCAAAACATTAATTACATAGCATGATGAAAAATTGAAAATGATATGGGTAAGAATTTTTTGACCTGCAGGTACAGTCGGTCAGTATGTGTACATAATGTAAACCATCTCTCACCACAACCAAACTCGTTCTAGGCTATATGCATTTCGTACATTATAGGAATCACCAGTAGCCCGAGTTAAAACTCCAGCTTAGTACATTTACTACCTCAGCAGATAATATTGCAAACTAAGGTGTCTTTTTGGTAATTCACATAAACACATTTTGGTCGATAGAGATGTCTCTCAACAGTAAAATAAAATGACCAGTTTCAAACTTAATGTTAATTTCAAAGTTAACGAGTGTGTTGTGTTGAAATAGACACACTCTTATCAAACTTAATCAATAATTATAAACTGATCAAAAACAATTGAATACCTTCAACACCCCTCTAAGTATGCTCCCACCAGCCACTCCTCCTTTTAGGTCATCCACTTCACAGCCAGGCTTGTTAACATCAAAAGACCTAATAACTGTTTACAATTGTTTAATTAAAATTAAGTAAAACATTATTAGTTTATTCTGAGTCCAATAAATTGTAAAAAGAATAAAAATAAATGCTACAAATTATTATTTTCTAAGAACAGCGAAAGTTTTGAAAAGAAAATCTTTCAGAATATTTGTCTCTGGATGTAGTAACTGCACTCATTCAGCCTTCACTCCATCCGACAAAGCCAAAAAATCCAAACACAGTAATACGGATTTTTTTATCAATTTATGCAAATGTGTCTTTTAGTATGAGCAAAGTATGTTTATTCAAATACATAATTTAGAGACCGAAAGTTGAACGAAATATTGTGGTCCGCAGCATGCCTCTTCAATTCAGAACACGTCCGCGGAACAAAAAAGTTTGAAAAGCACTGGACTAATCCACTAATTAGCAGGTTACTTGTTTGTTGTGCGTAGCCCTACAAGCTATGCTTTGGGTTTTAATAAAAGGAGGCTTAAAGCCCTGTTAAAAAGAAAAACTAGGCATATGTTTGATTTGCAACGTGTATGACGACTTTATTTATTTTTCAATTAAAATGTCTATAAAAATTGAAAAAGCAACAATCAAAAAATAATCCCAGGTTTGACATCAACTGCCTTGTAAAGAAACACTACGTGTGTAAACTTGAAAAAATTTATCACTTCTTAACAGTCTTCTCAACTATCGAAATAGTTTCACTCATATTTATCTGACAGACCTCAAGTTTTTAACAATGCCAGCTACATCAACATTGAGCTGTTACATGCTCAAAGATTGATTCTTGGACACCCATTTTATCTTTTGCATACATGGGAATAAACAACAATCGTAAAAATGTCAAGTCTCAACTCTAGAAATGTTTAGTCTCAACTGTATAATCTGATCATATACAAATGACTTTACCTAGAATAGTTCAATTGTTTTAAATCCAAAAAAAGGATGTAGAACACTGGATTTTAGCAAACAATTAAAAATAAACTCCAACAAAACTTACAACATAAGGCATGGCAGTCAAAGCAAACATCAAACTGATTTCAAGGATGACCTTAGTGTCGTTCTTGACTCAGGTCTGTCTATGAGGAATCACGTCAAAAATTTTTGTCAAAAATTTCTCATTAGCTATACAAAATAATAGCAGTTAGACTCCATCAATTCAGACGTTATAACAGAAATTACATGGTACATATGTGTTAATAAGTGTAGCAAGGCATCCACTCAATCGGTCATGAACTATTATACAGCTAGATCAACCGTTCACGTTTCAAAAACTGACAGCATTTCATACTACATAAAAAATATCTTTATTGGCCGAGGACTGAATCAGATTTAAAATTGACTCATTTAGAGAAACTGTTTAACTGAAATGCACCAGCTTATTTTTAAGAGTTAATAGTTTAAAATTTTTGAGAAAGAAGCTGATTGAGATATGCAAGTTCAACACATTTCAGAACGAAAATGTTTACAACTGCTTCAGCCAAAGTTTAAAACTCACTGCAGATTGATTTAAAAGTTGTCATTGATGTCAGTCATTAAATTTACAGGAACTGTTTAAAACTTCATCGGTTCAAAAAATTTAAGCATAATTAGTGCCTCAAACGAGAACGCCATAGACACATTCTACAAATCTGCAAGGATATGTTAGAAACATCAATCAAATCCAAAAATTGTTGTAAAAATATGTCCTCTGATTTGTCAGGCTTTTCAATTCTCATAAAACAATCTTTTAATGGCATGTGTTTTTTTATTTTTCCATACCGAAATCAATCAATCAATCTTCGTTTAGCGTCCAGAGACCCAGTTCCCCGAGGTAGGACGTTGTTTTCTTTGTCATCAATTTTTTGCGCCAAATTAGACGATCAGTTGTATCCATTTCATTTAAATTTAGAGTTTTCATGTTTTGCTCGATTGTTTGCGACTAGGACTTCCTTGGACGGCCTTTGGGACGTGTGCTAGGTATTTCAACATCTGCAAGAGAAGTTATGGCACTGTTTCCACTTCGTTTGACATGACCAAACAACCGTACGGTGTTGCCGGCATTCGTCCTTTATATCATCTAAACCAGCACGACGCAGGATTTCGGTAGATTTGATGTGGTCCTTCAGACTAATTCGTTGCATCCATCGAAACATTTTCATGTCAGTTCGTTGAAGTTGTTGTTCCAGTTTGGTTGTCATCGGCCATGTTTCTGCACCATATAACAACACCGGACGTATCACAGATTTATAAAGTCTTGAGCGTAATGGTAGTGGGATGTCACGCCGCATCAATATAGAGCAAGGAGATGCCATTTATTCCAGGCTGCACGTATGCGTGCTCGAACGGCAGCTTCAGCTGTTCCAGTACAATCCAGAACATTCCCTAGATATTGAAACGATGTGACTTTCTCTATTTTAATGGCTTCAAAAACAGTGCTATTTTGAATTTGTTGTTGTGGATTGATGCAAGCAGGACAAACAAAATTGGACACTTTAGATAAAGTACCAATTATTTTTGAACAACGTTTGTGACACCACTGGTTACACTGCTGACACTTGATTAAATTGTTACCTACACCAGCTTTAAAAACTGAACAGGGCCATCGTCCAGTAGCTGTGGATTGGATGGGTTCACCAGTGTTCATTGCTTTGGTTTTGCTGATGTTGACTTTGAATCCATGATCGGCGGGTCTGGTGTTCCAATCTTCAAACATCTGTGCTGCATTCTGCTCAGACGTGTCTGTTAAAACGATATCATCAGCATATACTAGATTCCAAATGTCACCAGTGCGTATAGGTTTTAGGATTTCTTCCATCAGTTATAAATAACAGTGGACTGAGAATCGAGCCTTGGTGAACTCCAACGCCGATGTCAAATGCATCTGTGTTTCTAACCGTTGTGCTGACGAGAGTCGTAGTAATCGTATACATTTCCATCACAAGTCGAACAAGATATTCTGGAATGAGTTGTCGACGTAAACTCCACCTGATTGCTTCACGGGGAACTCGATCAAATGCTTTTTCAAGGTGTACAAAAATGTGTGATAGTTGTTGATGCTTTGCGAGGTACTTCTCTTGCAGTTGCCGAAGGATGTGAATTGCATCAATTATTAATTTTCCCCCGGGAAACCAAATTGATAATTTCCGATTGTGATGCACGACGTTAATCTTCTCTCAATGATTTTCTCGACAATTTTCAGGAAGTGTTCTAACAGACGTATACCCCGATATGATGAACAGTTCAATGGATCACCTTTGTCTTTGTATAGCGGGACTGTCATGCTATAGTTCCATTCAGTCGGCATTGAGCAATTTCTCCACACTTCACGGCAAAATTGTAGTAACGTTTGGATACCTGCAGTACCGTAACCGCGGTACGTTTGTATTGGTTACAATGGATATTAATTATGTTGATAAATTACTAATAATTTACTTCTAAAATTTACATTCAATTTACAATTCAATGCACATTTAAAATTACAAATAGTGAGATGTGCGAAAATAGCATTGCCATCGATATTCATGGATATATGGAAACGCAATTTCCGCATTTCTCATGGTTAAAATAACAGGCATTTCAAACCAATGAGTCTAGGCTCTGAAGTGAAATCTCTGATGGGAATAGGTATTTTCTTGACAATGTATTCACAGACGGCATCAATATTGTATTTTAACTGTGCTGATATCGGAATTATTGGCACGCCATCAGCTATTGTACCTATGAAAAAATGTTGTACAGTTGATTCAGTCTGTAATAGAACTATATGTAAAAGTATAAAAGCCAATGTAAAACGTAACAACCTTGAATAAATCTAATTATCTGTTCATGCTGTTCTTTGGCCTGACTTTCTTTAACGATATCAATCTTGTTTTGCATTATCAAAATGTGTTTCAACTGCATGATTTCAATGGCTGCCAAATGCTCTGATGTCTGAGGTTGGGGGCATGATTCATTTCCAGCTGTTTAATACAACATAGAAAAACAGTGGAAAAAGGCATTAGAATTAATCACTAAATAATTTTTTCTTTTTAAAAGTATAAAAATTATTGTATAAAATTATTATTTAAAATATCCCTTATAAAAATAATAAATTTATCATATAGCATGAAAATTTGAAAACAAAAATAGAATTTTGGAAAAATTAAAACAATAACAGAAAATTATTTTTTTTAAGATTAAACACATGTGGTAAAAGCTGTTAATAAAACCAGGTGAGCTAAAACAGATTCACTAACAGTAATAAAATACAGTTTGTATTGGAATATGAATGACTAAATAATCAGCAGCTATTATTTTCCCAATAAAATGTTTGAAAAATAGCAACCTATTAGCAACAAAGCAGCATCCATAACAGCCGCTCCATTGAGCATGGTAGCCATCAATATATCATGTCCGGGACAATCAACGAATGACACATGCCTGAAAAAATATTACTAACCACCGTCAGCGCATCAGCGTAGTTTTTTGATGAAATTAAGTCAAGTTTCAATCTAGTTTAAACACCCCAAACAAAGATACTGAATGTTAAAAGGTGATATAATTCATATAATTATGTTCAGCGAATAAATTCTAAATTATAATATATAAAATAAACAAAATTACGGAATCGTAGTAGCTATGCACGTTAACGACGCCTTAATTATAACTGTTGAAATAAATAAATCCTATGATGTAGGCGTGCACAACCTCCGGCCAGTTATCATAAATCAGTGATAATTTTTTTATCACTGATCTATATAAAAATATATAAATCAGTGATACGTCCGGTGTTGTTATATGGTGCAGAAACATGGCCAATGACAACCAAAATGGAACAACAACTTCACCGAACTGACATGAAAATGCTCCGATGGTTGCAACGAATTAGTCTGAAGGACCACATCAAATCTACCGAAATCCTGCGTCGTGCTGGTTTAGATGATATAAAGGACGAATGCCGGCAACACCGTCTGCGGTGGTTTGGTCATGTCAAACGAAGTGGAAACAGAGCCATAACTCCTCTTGCAGATGTTAAAGTACCTGGCACACGTCCCAAAGGCCGTCCAAAAAAGTCCTGGTCGCAAAAAACCGAGCAAGACATGAAAGCTCTAAATTTAAATGAAATGGATACAACTGATCGTCTAATTTGGCGCAAAAAGTTGATGGCAAAGAAAACATCGTCCTACCTCGAGAAACTGGGTCTCTGGACGCTAAACGAAGATTGATTGATTGCTATTTTTTCAAAAATTTTTGATTACAACGTTGGAAATAAACAAATATAGTTTATCACGATAATAATAGGAGTCAAAACACATATTACAGCAATGAACCCAATCTTTTAAAAATTCAGCCGATTTGACTGTGAGTCAGCCAGTTAGTTTAACCCAATATATATCATGTCCGGCTTTAAATTGGTTGTCATTCCGTTCTGATAGTTTCATGCTAATTTCCTCTTTGTTTACCGAAATTCTCTACAATGAACAAACGAAAAGTCGACGATGAAAATAGAAAATTTTCTGAATTCTGGACCGAAAAATATTTTTTTGTTGAAAATTACAACAAAATTTGCCTGATTTTATAAGTCGTGCAAAATGTATGCAAAGAATGTAACTTGAAACGTCATTACGAATCAAAACAAGTGTATTATTTTGAGTATAAAAGAGAAATCGTTTTAAAGAAATTGAAGCACTGCGTCAAACTTTTTCTCTCCAACTACAAAAGAATCTGACAAATGTGTTGAAGTTAGTTTTGAAATTGCTTCTCTTATTGCCAAAAGTGGTCGACCATTTACTGATGGTAATTTTGCGAAAAAATGCATAATGATTGCTGCAGATAAAGTGTCCCCTGATGCTCTCAACAAATTCGAATCGAATGATAATTCAAATAAGAATTGTTAATCTTTCTGGAGATATATCCGAAATGTTAAAAAATACCGTTCAGATTTTCAAACATTTTTCTCTAGCATTGGATGTATCTGCTGATATTTTTTCTACTGCACAATTAGTCCTGTTTGTGAGAGGCATCACTGAAGATTTTCAGGTGATTGAAGGATTGATTGACATGGCTTTTTTGAAAAACACCACTACTGGGACTGATATTTTACAACATATCCTCATTCACAGAATCTTAATCTCCAAAAGATGGTGAGGATCACAACTAATAGTAATGACCTCATAAATTATCACTGTATTACAAACCAAAAACTGCACAAAATAATTGGGATTTGAACGACTAACGAAACTTACGACCAATGCCATAAATGCTCAAGGCTCAAACCACAGTCAGTTCAAAAAAATGTCAAGATGTTGTGAAGCTGTGCATAATGATATTGTGTATTACACTGAAGTGAGATGGTTGAGTCGTGGAGAAGCACTAAAAAGGCTTGCAGATATATTTAAGGAAATTATAATTTTCCTCAAAGAAAAAGGAAAGCCAACCAGATTTTCAGAAAAACTCTATCCAAGCAGATTTAGCATTCCTAGTTAATGTAACTGGCCATCAAAAAATTGATGAAAAAAGACCAATTTATAACACAGCTTTCTAATGCTGTATCTGCATTTAAATTGAAGCTGCAGTTATTTTGAGAGCAGATGAGCAAAGAGAAATTTTCAGAAAATAAAAGACAGATGCCCTAAAAAGCTTTTAGATTATTCTGAGCAAATAAAAAGTCTACAAAATGCATTTAATAATAGGTCTCGAGATTTTGAAACAAATGGTATTAAATTAAAGCATTTTGTGAAACCATTTGCCATTACTGTAGATGAAGCTCCCGAAAAACTTCAGATGGAATTAATCAATCTCAATTTAAAAATTTGAATGTTTAAGAATTTTTTGATAGGTTGCCAGGGGATTTTTTAAATTTAAAGGAAAATGCATTTATGTGTGCCACTATTTTTAGAAGTACATAAATATGTGAGCAAGCATTTTTAATGATGAACATCAATAAGTCAAAACTAAGAAACAAACTGTCTGATGAACATTTAAAAGCAGTGTTGAGGATTTCAACAAGCACAGTTGAGCCAGATATAAAAAATTAGATAACAAATGCTAATAACAGCTATCTCATTAGAATGGTCGATAGTGACAATTAGTTCAAGCCTTCCATGCTCCAAGTTTTTGTCAATTTGGCCCATTAATAAAAAATGTTGTTCACCCCTACTATGATGCACATTTCATACATCATAACCATAAGATTAACTAAAATTTCCATTTTCTTACAAAAAAGAATAATTGAAACAATGTACGTAAAATCAATTTTTGACCTGACAAGTTTAAATTTTCCTTTGTTAGATGAAAATTCACAGGTAATCTCGTCGGCATGAGCACTACCACGAGACGTATAACATTGGGGATGAGGAACAGAGGGGTCATCACATTTGTATATCTAAATATGGGTGGTACAACAAAAATAATATTAGGTTACATAAACTTAAAAAAAAACAATAACAAACCTTAGCATTAGCATATCCAAGTTTGATGGTGATATTACGTTCCAGTTCATTTTTAAAACGTACAGTCTGTAGAAAGAAATTTATTTAAATATTGAAAAACCAAAACAATTTTTCTAAACCAGTGGATTTAAAAACATTGGAGCTCAAATAAAGACCAATATTATGATGAATTTGTAAAGATATAACTGTTACAATCAAAAAATCATTGAAACATAAACCGTTCAGTAAAAAAAAGTATGGGCAACATTATAACTTAGTGACTATTTTCAACAAACTGTAAAAACAACTGATTATTTATACATAAAGACGTTATTTTACTGATTTTATTAATTAAAAAAAAATTAACACAAATTTGAAAACTTTAAATAATTAAGAGGTATGTGAATAAGTGAATTAACAGAACTATTCTATTTCTAATCAGTTTTACTCAAAACAAAAAAATCCTTTCGAAATTTTCACAAAATTGGACAGTTAAATGAGTATTCTTTATCAATATATTCATTTAAAATATCAAAATCATCGTTTATTTCTTTTATATTAGGATCTTCAATGAGCAGTAATTAAAAACAAACCTGGACACCAGATAACGCTTTTACAAGAGTAGACTTGCCATGAGCTACGTGACCAATTGTTCCTAAGACATAGCAGTAAAATGTTACATCAGATAATAACTATGAATATAATAGTTTTTATGATAAGTTGCAACAAAAAATATATTTTTAAAAAATGTTGGTATATAAATAAATCACATATTGTTTTCAGCAAAAATGATTATTCTGCAATCCAATTATGAAATTAATGATTATTCTGTTTCACTTTCTATGAATGTCAATCTCAGTGCCCACCCTTATTTCGACTACTAAAGAATATATAAGAAAGGGAGGATTGCCTGAAGGTGGTTGGAGTTGGGTAATGGAGTTGAGCTGTGCATTTCTGGCGATCGTGCGACATCTAACGTATTTCGGAAATTAGCGAATAATTCGGTGTTTCTATTACTCTTGGCATTCAAATTAAAGTTTAAACAAAGCTGTGTTTGAAGCAGTTGTGTTCATCTATCAGAAATCAGTGAACCTTCAGTACTGCAAATGACTTGACGATAGTGCAAGTTACATAACTGGTGTCAGAAGTTAATTTTTGATAGGTTAAAAATTTCTCTAATAAAGAATGCCAGAACTAGAAAAACCCGATGCAACTAATATAAGGGGGAAACCTTGACTTAAAAGGAGTGAAGGCAGTTTTCATAAAATGCCTAAGGGACGTTCTGATGAACAAAGGTAACGATCCTGATGATTTCGACATATGGAACAAATGGCAGTCGAACTAAAATAATTAAACTGGCAGCTGGAATGAATAAAAAACTTGATCAATAGGCAGCCAAATTAAAAAAAATAGCAACCAAAAGATTTAAAAGAATGAACAAAATCAAGCAAGAACTAGAACGACAATTAATAATAATTACAGATCAAAAGATTGACTGACGATTTCAATCAGAAAGTTAGAAATTGGAAGAATTTGTGAATTGTGAAGAATGAAGCAACAACTAAAACGAGTGCAAGATTTATCCTAAGAAGCGATCTAGTTCCACATACAACATGAGAAGTGCAACAGATATATATTACAAAATTACAAACAGTACCTATTTATGGGGAAGTCAATCGGATCTTCCACAGGGGAGACATGGCATTTGAAAAGTCGTTCTCCATAGCGAATATTGCATAATCGATACTGAATATCTCACAAAACATGGTTTTAAGATTGATTTAGAGAAACGTGTCCTTGCCTGAAGAAATATGGAAATAATAAAAGAAACGCGTCCAAGTGACAACCAAGGATAATCAATCAATGGCATCTTTTCGTTTTAACCAAACCAATCCGTGCTAACCTAACAAATCAGGGTATGACAGTTACTTCCACATAGCTGGTAAAATAGATATAAATTTAAACACTAGCCAAATATACAATAAAGCCATGTTAAATAATAATTTGTAAGTAGCCTAAATAGGCCAGAATCGATTCAATAACCAGAAAAAATAGGCTTTTTCAACTTTTTACAGCTCTGTTTACGAGGCAATTTGATATTAATCTCTATTTTCATCTTTTCAAATAAATCATTGCAACAAACAATTTGATTTAATAAAATAAACTTGCTTTAAAATAAAAACTGACATTTAACACACATGCAAACGATTAAATTAAATGTAAATTCAACCAACCTATATTAATAGTTGCTTGTCTGCTGATCACCTCAGGTGTTAGAGGATTTAGTTCATGAATTTTCTTAAAAGAAAAATTATTATTAAAATAAATTATAAATAAAAAATATACTAATAATGATTTAGATTAGTGTTTCCCAACATGGAATATACATCCCACCGAAGAGAAGATTTAAGGGGGTCAATTTTAAATTTTAATGGTCTGAGCGAATATAAAAAAAACCCTTCACTTCTGAAATTCAAGTGATCACTAACCAATTGTTGTTAATTTTAAAATCTTAATGATTGGCTAATTATTTTTAATAAGGTTGATAATAATTTTTATCCTGACAAAAATGTTAAATAAAACAAGTGATTTTCCAGCTCGATTCTAAAGTCAAAATATATTAAATTTAATCATAATACGCATGTAGAACTTTTGAAATATTTTGTATGCAAAATCTTTGGTTCAACTTAAAACATTTTTTAAGTTCTAAAGCTATTTATTTGATATTTAGGAACATAACACTTTAACATATATAAGTTTAGTATAAAAGTGGTAATTAATTTCACAGTAAGATCGTATAAAGCATGTTACAAAAATAAGGATATTTTAAAAGCCCTTGGTGAATGGGCCAATACTGGAGAAAATTGAATTTGAGTTTTACATTTATTCATTTAATATAGTAAATGCATATTTATTTATGTGATTATTTTTTTCCTAATAAAAATGACTAGCGCATTTAAGAAAATAGAATCATCTTAATTTAAAGCAATATTAAAAAGTTGGTTTCGTACTCATAGTCCAAGATAAATGGCTGCCTTCTGTTTTTTATAATAACTGGGTTAATGTAATGAACGATTGAAAAGAAATCATCACAAAAAACATTTGAAGACGAAATAGTGTTCACCCATTTGAATACAAAATATAGTGTTCATGCTAATTCATATTTTATTTATTATGTCGTTCAATAAATCAGTGAAAAGTATAACGACTTCCAAAGCTATAAACAATAAACTAAAAGTTATTCAGATGTTAATAATATTTTAATGAAAAATATATCAACATGTGCTGCCAATGGTACTTCTAAAAAACATGAAAACCAAAACATGCTTTTTGTGCAATGAGGCAGAAAAAACCTTGTTGCAAAACAACTTTCAACATACATTTAGTTTTAACTTTCAACATACATTCAGTTTTGAAATGCTAAAAAGTGCATTAATAATATCAATATTAATGCTAAATGTCAGTGACTTCAATCTATTTGAATAGAACAAAATAAAAATCATGTGAGATGTTTTACTGCACATTAAGCAAATTGGCTATTCCGAGTCTCAAAAATACTATTCAACTTTTGCTTTATAACTGCACCTCATAAACCACATCATCACAAAATCAATCCTCGTTTATAGTCTCCATCCGTTATGGGCTACAAACATTTCAGGCATTCAAAACAATTTGTTCACATGGCATCAAAAGTAGCAAATTTTTCGACATCACAGAATCACTTATCTCACACATTAAGTATGCAGCTCCTTCCTGGTACAGCTTCGCAATACAACAACTCCAACAGTTTCGATCTCTTATTAAAAAATAAATTCATCTCAACTATCTATTTTCAACATATCCAACCGTCACTCAAATATTCAACACACTCGATTCCAAATTATTCAAGAAAAAAGAAACTAATGCTAAATACGTCATCCACTCTCTACTTCCGCAAATTAAAACTTCAACCATAAACTTAGCCTAAGTAAATTTAATTATCAAACCATTACTAAGATCAGCATGTCAAGATAAAACCTTCATTCTAAGACACCTAAATATGTTAATCAATTTTCTGTCAGTTTAATTTTTTTCTATTTAATATATATATATATATATATATATATATAAGAAGGGCGTAGAGTGTTGGAGTTAGCGGATGCACACAGCATGGTGGTGGGGAACACTTGGTTCACAAGGGAACCAGCGCGATTGATTACTTATAGGTCAGGGGAACATAGATCGATGATCGACTATATATTGGTAAGGGCCAAACATAGGAAGTATGTGAAGAATGTGAAGGCGATACCTGGTATGTTGCAGCATAGTATGGTTGTGATGGATGTGACATCAAAAAAAATGGGGAGGAGGAAGAAGGATAAGTTTGTGGCAAAGAGAAAGACATGGAAGTTGCAGGATGCAGAGGTGAGGAAGGCATTTGAAGTGAAGGTGGCTGAAAATTGGGAGAGTGGTAAGGATGGAGATGTTTGGGAGAGATACAGGGACTGTGTGTTGGCTACGGCAGATAAAGTATGTGGATGGACGAAAGGAAAGTGTAGGCATGGTGAGACGTGGTGGTGGGATGAAGATATAAGAAGGGTTTTGGAAGTCAAGAAGGAGAGGTTTAGGGTATGGAGAAGGGACATGACGGAGGAAGCGGAGTCTGAGTATAGGAAGGCTAAGAAGGTTGCAAAACAGGCAGTGGCAACTGCAATGACGAAAGCATCAGATAGGTTAATGAAGGAAATGGAATCTGATGTGAGTTCGAGGAAAATGTTCAAAGTAGCAAAGCAGTCAATGAGGGATAGGAAAGATGTTATAGGGAATGGATGTGTTTGGGATGGATCTGGCAAGTTGTGCATAGATGAGGAGGAAAAAGCTCAGGTGTGGAAAGCTCATATGGAAAGGTTGATGAATGAAGAGAATGAGTGGGATGGAGATGTGGAATCCGCGGTCACACACGGACCTATAGAGAAGGTGACGATGGAGGAAGTAGAGAAAGCAGTTAGAGAAATGAAACTAGGTAAGGCGACAGGAGTTTCGGAAGTGGCGGCAGAACATATTAAAGCGAGTGGGGTGATAGGAATTGAAGTTATGATGAGAATTGCTAACAGTATGTTTGATGATGAAGGTATACCTGAGGATTGGCAACACAGTGTGTTGGTGCCGTTGTATAAGGGCAAAGGAGATGTGAGAGATTGTGGGTCATACAGGGGTGTGAAATTACTAGAGCACGGAATGAAGGTAGTGGAGAGGGTGCTTGAGAGGAGGTTGAGAAGTATGGTGACAGTTAATGAAATGCAGTGTGGGTTTATGCCTGGTAGGGGAACGGTGGATGCGTTGTTCATGGCGAAAATGTTGCAGGAGAATTATAGAAAGAAGAAACGAAGATTGTACATGTGTTTTGTGGATCTAGAAAAGGCTTTTGATCGAGTACCGAGGAAGGTCATTGAATGGGCGTTGAGGAAGAAAGGAGTGAATGAGAGACTTGTTAAAGCTGTGATGCAGCTGTATGAAGGGGCAAAGACAAAGGTGAGGGTTGGAAGGGGGATGTCGGACGCTTTTAGTGTTAAGGTAGGAGTGCATCAAGGATCAGTGTTATTACCGTTTCTGTTTGCAATTGTGATGGATGTTGTGTGTGGAAACATAATGGAGGGGTTGTTATTTGAGATTTTGTATGCAGATGATTTAGTCTTGATGGCTGATAGCATGGAAGAATTGCAGTTAAAATTTGACAGATGGAAAAGTGTTATTGAAAAGAAAGGGTTAAAAGTTAATATTGGTAAGACGAAGGTAATGGTGAGTGGGGAAGGTGGGGAACGAGTGATAAGTAAAATAGACCCCTGTGGGGTATGTGATAGGAGAGTGAAGGCTAACTCGGTATTGTGTATAGGATGTCAGAAATGGGTGCATAAGAGATGTAGTGGTTTTAGGGGGGCACTGAAAAAGGTGGAAGGCACGTTCAAATGTAAGAAATGTGTTCATGGTGTGATTAATAGGACGAACGCAAGGACGGGGTTGAGTGATGGTATTGAAAGAGTGGAAAGCTTTGTTTACTTAGGGGATAAGCTGAATGCGGATGGAGGATGTTTGAGCGCAGTTACGGCTAGAGTTCGTGTGGGATGGATGAAATTTAGGGAACTGGGTGGGGTATTGTGTGGAAAGAAATGGTCAGTGAAGATGAAAGGGAGGGTATATAAAGCATGTGTGAGAGCAGCGATGATATACGGTGGTGAAACTTTGGTGTTGAGGAGAGAGGAGGAAAGTGTACTGCAGAGGGCTGAAAGAGCTATGGTGAGGATGATGTGTGGGGTTAAAGTGAAGGATAGGAGGAGTAGTACAGAGCTGATGTCAATGATGGGACTGAATGAGGACATTGTGACATTGATAAGGAGATCGAGATTGCGGTGGTATGGACATGTGTTGAGAAGGGATGAAAGGGTCGGGATTAGGCGAGCGTTGGAGTTCGAGGTTGAAGTCGTGGTAGGAAGGGGTCGTCCGCGATTGGGATGGAGAGAGCAGGTGGAGAAGGAGAGAGTGAAAGCGGGGTTGCGTGATACTGAGGCGAGTGACAGATGTGGATGGAGTCGAGGGGTATTTCGGTTTCATCATAGGTAGCCAAACGGCAACCCCCGATCTCGGGGAAAATGCCGTCTAAACGTGTGTTGTTGTTGTTGTATATATATATATATAAATTTCATTAAATTTTATTATCATTATATTTTATCGCTATAGTATTATTTATTAATTTTAATTTATTAATTTTTTTAATAATAAATTGTAATTTATTATTTAGTTTATTAATTAAATTAACAAAATGTTTTATAATATTCATTTTATTGCTATTAATTTAAAAATAACACATTTAAATATAAATAAATTATTAAAATAAATTAAATATAAACTAGAAAAATTAAAATAGTTTAAATACAACAAAAAAGCTTTTTTGGCAAAATTGCCATCATCAGTGATATAATTTGAAATACAGTTATTTATTTAAAGTGTGTATATTAATCAATTAAGAAAAGTTTGTATATTAAATATTATTAAATTTAAATGAAAATGTTGGGAATAAAAACATTCTTTAAATTGTTTTTATTATTTTTTCGGTTTTTATGCACCAGATTTTTTCTCAATCTGTGCATTTTCACACTATTGAGAAAACTTTGAGTGCAATGCAAACATACATACAGGCAAATCTGGAAACCATTACTGGGTTTTCACGACAATATTTATTTATAGTCAGTAGTTTAAAGAAACATATAAGCTCCTTCCACGGGGCAATTAATATTTCAACTAAATAGTAGAGATTACATGTTCGTTGCCTAAAGACCTATTAATATAGCATTAAAATTAATGCTCACAAATGGCCGTCATATATTTGATTGTTTTAAAATTCGTTTCTTGTATGTTCATTCGCTTGACTGATTATAAATAAAAAAATCGCATTAAAATAACTCAACGTGCATGGGTGTGAATATTAGAATTATCTTTTTGCCAAATATACAAAGAATATTCAAAATGAATTTTTTTTTTAAATTTTGATAAATAATTACAAAAAATTACATTTACAGATTGAAACATAGTACTGTGAATGTTCACCTGGGAACATTATTATCAGCGACATTTTTCATTCAACATTTTTCGATAGAAATATGATCAAAATTTTAATTATACTTAGTTCAGGTTATGTGAAATGATATAGCTCAATTCCAATGCTTACCTGAATGCTCAACCATTATGGTACAACAATTGAGTTACAAGTTATACCTATATATTATAAAATAATTATCAACCTATAAAATAACTAAAAAATTATACTTATACTTGAACTTATATAAATCAATCAATCAATCATCGTTTTGCATCCAGAAACCCGGTTCCCTGAGGTAGGACGTTGTTTTCTTTGCCATCAACTTTTTGCGCCAAATTAGGCGATCAGTTGTATCCATTTCATTTAAATTTAGAGCTTTCATGTCTTGCTCGATTTTTTGCGACTTCTTTGGACGGCCATTGGGACGTGTGCCAGGTACTTCAACATCTGCAAGAGAAGTTATGGCACTGTTTCCACTTCGTTTGACATGACCAAACCACCTAAGACGGTGTTGCCGGCATTCATCCTTTATATCATCTAAACCAGCACAATGCAGGATTTCGGTAGATTTGATGTGGTCCTTCAGACTAATTTGTTGCATCCATCGGAGCATTTTCATGTCGGTTCGTTGAAGTTGTTGTTCCAGTTTGGGTGTCATTGGCCATGTTTCTGCACCATATACCAACACCGGACGTATCACAGATTTATAAAGTCTTGATCGTAGTGGTAGTGGGATATCACGCCGCATCAATATAGAAGCAAGGAGATGCCATTTATTCTAGGCTGCACGTATGCGTGCTCAAACGGCAGCTTCAGCTGTTCCAGTACAATCCAGAACATCCCCTAGATATTGAAACGATATGACTTTCTCTACCTTAATGTCTACAAAAACAGTGCTATTTTAAATTTGTTGTTGTGGATTGATGCAAGCAGGACAAACAAAATTGGACACTTTAGATAAAGTACCAATTATTTTTGAACAACGTTTTTCACACCACTGGTTACACTGCTGACACTTGATTGAATTGTTACCTACACCAGCTTTACAAACTGAAAAAGGCCATCGTTTTGGGTTTTTTTGACATGGTTATATATATATATATATATATATATATATATATATATTTACAATATTCTATAAATTCTACCGAATGTTTGGCGTTAATATGTTTGTAGTTCGTTAGAAGATATATATATATATAACACGGGTACATTGTTCATGTGTTAAGACAAATCAGTTACCAAAAGACCCAAGATTGTTATATCAACACTGTCGACAAAATCATGTCCCTTTCAGTAGCCTTTTCATTTCAACACATGAACAGTGGTACCAGTTTATGCAGCTATCACACTGCACCCATGAAGTACGAGTTTAGTTGTCTCTTCCAGAGTGATGTCCACAAACAACACAAACATACAAATTGACCACATCTTATTTTCTAATTTTGTCCATGCTTCGTTGGAAAAATATTGTTTCAAGGTGGACATATTAGCACGATCATCCGTGCATCTTGGATCAATTATTTCTTTAACCAGTTAATTGATGCTATGCAATCCATTTGAACACAAATTTTTGCTGTTTCTTCAGATAAAACCCATGAGAGTCTGAGTTGGTCTTGTGCAGATGGATGCAATTTTTCAAATGTAAGTTTGCGTTGTTGAAACAGTTGTTGTTTCCTTTTTGCTGGACATCCTTTGTGCTTGATAGCAACAGGATACAGAGTGTTTGAATTGGCAGCTTGCCCATTTTTTTCTGGCGCAGTAACCTGTAAGCTATCAGCAATATCATCTTCTATGATTACTGGTTGACTGCCACTGGCCACATGATCGGTAAAACGGGAGATAGGTACTCCTATGGTATCGTCTATGTTTACAAACAATCATAATGTACTTTTAATAAATTAACTCTGCCCATTTGGAATAGACAGATTTATCGATTGCAATATCAATGATGATTATAATATAATGATTATACGAAAAACATCAAAGCCCTATAACAACTATGTATATATATATTGGATTAAGACTGTCAGAAATGCAATTATTGATGAAAATCATAGCATGTTCATCGTTGGTAAACTTCCTATTTAACTTTTTGATTTTTCTATCAGTTGATCTTAAATCATTCTCAAGTTTCTTGAGTTCTAAACCAAAATTTCTGTTTACTTTATGCATGATAGAACAAAAAACCTTTTTTTTTGATATTTTTACACAATACCATCTTCAATATAAAATAACGCATAAAATAAACAAAAATTTTGATTTTGAACTCAAGTAACTTGAAAATATTTTATGATCAACTGTTAGAAAAATTGAAAAGTTAAATAGGATGTTAACTAACGCTGAGCATGCTGTTTTTCATCAATAATTGCATATATATTACATATACTTTACTTTTACAGACAAATCTAGGCACACTAAAAAAAGTATGACAG